CGGTGGAGATCGGCGCTCGCCTTCTGTCTACGGATAGCCCGCTGCAGATGGACGTGTGCAGCGTTCCACGTCTCCTCCGAGCGCCGAAACCACTCATCCACCGCAGGAGCCTCGATCTGGCTCTGATGCCATGGTGCCAGAACCGGCTGATACCCTAACACACACTGGAAAGGGGTCAGGTTAGTAGAGGAGTGGCGAAGAGAGTTCTGGGCAATCTCTGCCCAAGGGATATAACCCGACCACTCCTCCTGCCGGTCCTGGCAATACGATCTCAGAAACCTACCCACATCCTGGTTCACTCTCTCCACCTGCCCATTACTCTCAGGGTGAAAACCCGAGGTAAGGCTAACCGAGACCCCCAAACGTTCCATGAACGCCCTCCAGACTCTAGAGGTGAATAGGGGACCTCGATCGGACACTATATCCTCGGGAACCCCGTAGTGCTGGAAGACGTGGGTAAACAAAGCCTCAGCGGTCTGTAGGGCAGTAGGGAGACCCGGCATTGGGATGAGACGACAGGCCTTAGAGAACCGATCCACAACGACCAGAATAGTGGTATTCCCCTGGGAGGGGGGTAGGTCAGTGACAAAGTCTACCGAGAGGTGAGACCACGGCCGTTGTGGAACGGGCAGGGCCTGTAACTTCCCCCTGGGCAGGTGTCTAGGCGCCTTACACTGGGCGCTCACTGAGCAGGAGGAGACATAAACCCTCACGTCCCTAGCCAATGTTGGCCACCAGTACTTAACACTAAGGCAGTGCACTGTCCGGCCAATACCTGGATGTCCAGAGGAGGGTGACGTGTGAGCTCAATATATGAGACGATCGCGGATCTCGAACGGCACGTACGTCCGCCCCACTGGACACTCCGGAGGAGTAGGGTCGGTGCGTAACGCCCGCTCGATTTCCGCATCGATCTCCCACACCACCGTTTGCCACCAGACAAGACTCCGGCAGTATGGGAGTGGGCTCAATGGACCTCTCCTCTGTGTCATACCGCCAGGACAGGGTGTCTGCCTTACCGTTCTGGGACCCTGGGATGTAAGTAAGCTTAAAAACAAACCGGGTCAGAAACATGTTCCACCTAGCCTGACGAGGGTTCAGTCTCCTAGCTGCCCGGATGTACTCCAGGTTACGATGGTCAGTCAGAATGAGAAAAGGGTGTTGAGCCCCCTCAAGCCAATGCCTCCACACCTTTAGGGCCTGAACTACGGCTAGCAGCTCCCTGTCCCCTACGTCATAATTTCGTTCCGCCGGGCTGAGCTTTTTAGAATAAAAAGCGCAGGGCCGGAGTTTAGGAGGCGTACCTGAGCGTTGAGACAATACTGCCCCAATAACGGCCTCTGACGCGTCCACCTCCACTTGGAACGCTAAAGCGGGGTCCGGATGCGCCAGCACCGGAGCCGAGGTGAACAGGTTCTTCAGTTTATCAAACGCCCTGTCCGCCTCAGCCAACCACTGCAAACGCACCGCCCCCCCCTTCAGCAGGGAAGTGATGGGAGCTGCCACCTGTCCAAAACCCCGGATAAACCTCCAGGAGTAATTGGCAAAACCCAAAAACTGTTGCACCTCTTTAACAGTGGTTGGAGTCTGCCAATTACGCACAGCTGACACACGGTCAATCTCCATCTCCACCCCTGACGCGGACAACCGATGACCCAAGAAGGAGATGGACTCCTGGAAAAACAGACATTTCTCTGCCTTGACATACAAGTCATGCTCCAACAGCCTACCCAACACTCGGCGTACCAGGGCTACATGCTCGGCTCGTGTAGAAGAGTACACTAGAATGTCGTCAATGTACACGACCACACCCTGCCCATGCAAGTCCCGGAAGATCTCGTCCACAAAGGATTGGAAGACTGAAGGAACATTCATTAACCCGTATGGCATGACGAGATACTCATAATGACCCGAGGTGGTACTAAATGCTGTCTTCCATTCATCTCCCTCCCTAATGCGCACCAAGTTGTAAGCGCTCCTGAGATCCAGTTTTGTGAAGAAACACACTCCGTGTAATGATTCCGTCATACTCACAATCAGAGGAAGATGATAACTGTATTTAGCAGTGATCTGATTGAGATTACGGTAATCAATACACGGGCGCAACCCTTCATCCTTTTTCTTCACAAAAAAGAAACTCGAGGACACAGGGGAAATGGAGGGCCATATGTATCCCTGTCTCAGAGACTCGGCTATGTATGTCTCCATAGCCGCCGTCTCCTCTTGAGACAAGGGATACACATGGCTCCGCGGAAGTGCCGCACCCGCCAGGAGGTCTATCGCACAATCTTCCCGTCTATAAGGTGGCAATCGCGTCGCCCTAGTCTTGCTGAACACGAGTGCCAAATCCTCATACTCGGGGGGAATGTGCATTGCGGGCACCTGGTTCGGACTCTCCACCGTGGTCGCCCCTACGGAAACACCTAAACATCGCCTGACACACTGGTTAGACCACTCCTTGAGAGCCCGCTGTTGCCACGAAATAGTGGGGTCATGGGCGATTAACCAAGGAAGCCCCAGTACCACGGGATACGCAGGAGAGTCGATCAGATACAACTGAATAATCTCTTCATGACCCCCCTGTGTCCTCATCTTAAGTGGCGCTGTGACCTCCCTAATCAACCCAGATCCCAACGGACGGCTATCTAGGGCATGGATAGGGAAGGGTGCATCAACGGGCAGGAGGGGAATCCCTAACCTCACACAAAAATTACGATCAATGAAATTCCCAGCTGCGCCTGAATCGACTAGCGCCTTATGCTGGGACTGAGATGCAACCTGAGGAAATACTACAGGTATACAAAAGTGAACAACAGAGAGCTCTGGGTGAGCTGGGCGCCTACTCACCTGGAATGACTCCCCAGTGCGCGACCTGTTGCCTCGAACTCCTGGAGGCCCTCCCCAGCACCTAGCCGCAGTGTATCCTCTACGACCACAGTTGGTGCAGGGGACGGCCTCCCTCGGAATCTCTCTCCTCCTCTCTCTAGCGCCAGCACCCCCGAGCTCCTGTGCGCTCCTCTTCCCCTGTCGAAGGTGGAACAGACGCTCCCCCGCCGCTTTACCCTCAGGGGGATGATCGAAAACAGCCCTGAAGCGGCGGGAGAACTCCGCGTAGCTGATGGTGGCGGCGTCTATTCCCCTCCATTCGGCATTGGCCCACTCCAACGCCTTGCCGGAGAGACAGGAGATGAGGGCTTAAACGCTCTCGTATCCCGAGGGCGCCGGGTGTATGGTTGCCAGGTAGAGTTCCACTTGAAGGAGGAACCCCTGACACCCGGCTGCGGTGCCATCATATGCCCTCGGGAGCGAGAGCCGAATACCACTGGACTCCGGAGCTGGTATGGTGGAGCTGACCGATGGTGGTGGTACAGTAGGAGGAGATGTGGGCAAGCCTCCTCTCTCCCGTCGGCGCAGGGTGTTCATTACTTCTTGCATAGCGGATCCGAGTTGCTGGATCCTGGCGTCCTGGCAGCTGACCCGATCCTCAAGCGACTTGGTTCCCGCCGCTGCTCCTGCTGACTCCATAGTATTGGTGTGTTATTCTGTCACGGTACTGATGTGGATGCGGTGGTGAAGTCATGCGCAGGACACAGCGGATAAGTCAAAACGACTTTACTGAAGTAATTGAACAATATACAAAAATAAATGGCCTCGAAACAACGGAGGCGAACTGATACGCGAAATGCGTAAAACACTCATAAACAAAAGTACCGAACCTCACAACAAAACGACAGGCGGACAATAACACACAACTACAAAGCATACCACAGGGAAACTTATAGGTGACATAATCAGGACAGAATACGAAACAGGTGCACTAAACTAGACATGACCAAACAAACATCGAAAACATCAAACGGTGGCAGCTAGTACTCCGGGGACGACGAACGCCGAAGCCTGCCCGAACAAGGAGGAGGAGCAGCCTCGGCGGTATTCGTGACATTAGATTCTTATCCATCTCTACATGACTTCACATATCACACCTTTTTTTTCAGAAACAGATCATACAAGTCAGGGATAAAGTAGGCTTAAAGTAGGCTTAATGCAAATTATAATCAATGCTCAAGTTCAAGACAAGGTAGGCTATAACACAGTACATCCCTGCTATGTACCATTTTCAGTTATATGGTTTCAATATTTTTTCTCTTGAAGGTTTTAATGAATAACTTTCCTTGCGCTGTAGGCTACATCTAGATACTTACCAGCGAAGGGTCTGTATTTACCAGAGAATTACAAGGAAACTCACACAGCTACAATATTGTATGTGCTGATTTATTCTATTACACAGAGTACAAACATACAATTCATGGTTTTTCAGCTGTAAAATCAAGGGCCTTTTTAAAATAAAGCAACAATGATGGCAAATCAAAGAAAAATACAGTAGAAAATGAATATGCAATTGAACATCATATTTAGAAATACAATGTTATGCGGTATTGGATTTAGATACCTAAATCATATTTTTAAAAAGTATTAATACAATGAGAAAAATTACATATAATCAGACACTAGATTGCAGTTTTGATCATCTAATGATGCAATGAAAGCCAACGATAATAATATGTTGAAATTACATTAATTAAATTGTATTGATTGAGTTATTCATCTGGTACCAGATTGTGCCATATACCACCAGCACAACGTCAAATGTAAAAATAAAAAATAAATCTGACCAGTACTCTGCGATTATGGTCAATGATTTTTTGAAGAACATAGTCATGTGAATAGAGTAACTGTAACCTTTCCTGTTTTAGTAGCAAACTTTGATACATCTCAATGGTGAATTACATGACCGATCTTGGCTCCATCTGATCCCACGACTTCAACGTAGACAGTCTCACCACAATCGTTAGCAACATGGGTTATTTGCGTGATGTAGCGGTCCTCAATGAATTTGTCCTGTAGGATTGGATACTATATAGATGCATGTATTAGGAAATAAAATGACCATGACAAATTACTTTACACAAAATAGTTGAGTTATTAACGATGCTCTTACAATGCTGGCACCAGCAGCACCTGCTGTCGTCAAAGCAACGGCAATAGGTATGAATGCCATTCCAAATGAGGAAACAAATTAACAATGGTTAATGGTTATCCTCTCAGCTGCTTTGACAATAGGCTTATTGATGAACCATTAACTTTTAAGCCTAATATTTAAATTAATAATAAAACATGGAGTTCTGAAACATGTTTAACTTCTGAATAACTAGATATTACATACTGAAGAGGTCCAGTATGTAGCTTTGTGGCGACATGACCAAATTCACATAGAAATGTGAGTTATATATCTGTCATTCTCATTGAAAGCAAGTGTGATAAGTGGTAGATACATTCTACGTGTGCTATTTCTATGCTTCTTCCGGTCCTTAAGTTTAGCTTTTACTTATTTTTACTCTTTTGTACACCAGTTTCAAACAGCTGAAAATAAGATATTTTTGGTAATTGAAAATATTTTCCCATCTGTTTAGATTGTACAATGTGTTTTGATACCATTCCATTAACTATTATGAGCTGTCCTCCCCTCTGCAGCCTCCACTGACACATACACAATCCATGTCTCATTTGGCTCAAGGCTTAAAAATCCATCTTTAACCTGTCTCCTCCACTTCATCTACACTGATTGAATTGGATTTAACAAGTGACATCAATAAGGGATCATAGCTTTCACTTGGATAAACCTGGTCAGTCTATGTCATGGAAAGAGCAGGTGTTCTTAATGTTTTGTACACTCAGTGTATATGCTTTCTAGCCTACATAAAGTTGAATAAAAGTAGGTTGTGTGACATTTCCAGGACAGCACAGTGAATTTTGTATTGGATAGGTTCATTACATTGTCACTTTCAATTTCTCTTTCTGAAACTGTCATCTTTCCTCCAGAGCCTAAGTTCATTGGGTCGGTGGTGATTCCTGATAACAATGACAGGGATGATGACAAGGTCTACTTCTTCTTCACGGAGAGAGGGATGGACGCAGAGGGGGTTAACAAGGCTGTTTACACCCGGGTGGGACGAGTCTGTGCGGTGAGAACGGAACTAATGCTTTGTTTTATCCTGCATGCCAGCATATCCCCATATACAGTGCCTTCAGAAAGTATTCATACCCCTTGACTTATTCCACATTTTGTTGTGTTACAGACTGAATTAAAAATGGATTAAATAAAACAAATTAACACCCATGTATACACAATACCATATAATGAAAAAGTGAAAACATGTTTTTAGAAATATTTGCAAATTTATAGAGAATGAAATACAGAAATATCTTATTTACATAAGTATTCACACCCCTGAGTCAATACATGTTAGAATCTCCTTTGGCAGCAATTACAGCTGTGAGTCTTTCTAGGTAAGTCTCTAAGAACTTTGCACACCTGGATTGTACAATATTTGCCAATTATTATTTTCAAAAGTCTTCATGCTCTGTCAAATTGGTTGTTGATCATTGCTAGACAACTATTTTCAAGTCTTGGCATAGATTTTCAATTAGATTTACGTCAAAACTTATGAACATTCAATGTCTTCTTGGGAAGTAACTCCAGTGTAGATTTGGCCTTGTGTTTTAGGTTATTGTCCTGCTGAAAGGTGAATTCATCTCCCAGTGTCTGGTGGAAAGCAGACTGAACCAGGTTTTCCTTTAGGATTGTACCTGTGCTCAGCTCCATTCCATTTATTTTTTATCCTGAAAAACTCCCCAGTCCTTAATGATTACAAGCATACCCATAACACGATGCAGCCACCACTATGCTTGAAAATATGGAGCGTGGTACTCAGTAAAGTATTGGATTTGCTCCAAACATACAGTGCCTTCGGAAAGTATTCAGACCCCTTGACCTTTTCCACATTTTGTTATGTTACAGCCTTATTCTAAAATTGATTAAATGGTTTTTTCCCCCCTCACCAATCTACACACAATACCCTATAATGACAGAGCAAAAACAGTTTTTTTTTAGAAATGTTTGCTAATTTATTGAATATAGAAAACGGAAATATAAGTACTCAGACCCTTTACTCAGTACTTTGTAGAGGCACCTTTGGCAGCGATTACAGCCTTGAGTCTTCTTGGGTATGATGCTACAAGCTTGGCACACTTGTATTTTGGGGAGTTTCTCCCATTCTTCTCTGCAGATCCACTCAAGCTCTGTCAGGTTGGATGGGGAGCGTCGCTGCACAGCTATTTTCATGTCTCTCCAGAGATGTTCGATCGGGTTCAAGTCCGGGCTCTGGCTGGGCCACTCAAGGTCATTCAGACACTTGTCATGAAGCCACTCCTGTGTTGTCTTGGCTGTGTGCTTAGGGTCGTTGTCCTGATGGATAGTTAACCTTCGTCCCAGTCTGAGGTCCTGAGTGCTCTGGAGCAGGTTTTCATCAAGGATATCTCTGTACTTTGCTCCGTTCATCTTTTCCTCGATCCTGACTAGTCTCCCAGTCCCTGCAGCTGAAAAACATCCCCACAGCATGATGCTTCCACCACCATGCTTCACCGTAGGGATGGTGCCAGGTTTCCTCCAGACGTGACACTTGGCATTCAGGCCAAAGAGTTCAATCTTGGATTCATCAGTCCAGAGAATCTTGTTTCTCATGGTCTGAGAGCCGTTAGTTGCCTTTTGGCAAACTCCAAGTGGGCTGTCATGTGCCTTTTACTGAGGAGTGTCTTCTGTCTGATCACTCTACCATAAAGGCCTGATTGGTGGAGTGCTGCAGAGATTGTTGTCCTTCTGGAAGGTTCTCCCATCTCCACAGAGGAACTATAGAGCTCTGTCAGAGTGACCATCGGGTTCTTGGTCACCTTCCTGACCAAGACCCTTCTCCCACGATTGCTCAGTTTGACCGGGTGGCCAGCTCTAGGAAGAGACTTGGGGGTTCCAAACTTCTTCATTTTAAGAATGATGGAGGCCACTGTGTTCTTGGGGACCCAATGCTGCAAAAAATGTTTTGGTGCCCATCCCCAGATCTGTGTCTTGACACAATCCTGTCTCAGAGCTCTACGGACAATTCATTCGAACTCATGGCTTGGTTTTTGCTCTGACATGCACTGTCAACAGTGGGACCTTATATAGACAGGTGTGTGCCTTTCCAAATCATGCCCAATCAATTGAATTTACCACAGGTGGACTACAATCAAGTTGTAGAAACATCTCAAGGATGATCAATGGAAACAGGATGCATCTGAGCTCAATTTCGAATCCCATAGCAAAGGGTCTGAGTATCTATGTAAATAAGGTATTTCTGTTTTTTATTTTTAAGACATTTGCATACATTTCTAAAAACCTGTTTTCGCTTTGTATTATGGGGTATTGTGTATAGATTATTGCTGAGGATTTGTATTTATTTAATCCATTTTAGAATAAGGCTGTAACGTAACAAAATGTGGAAAAAGTCAAGGGGTCTGAATACTTTCCGAAGGCATTGTAACACGTTGTATTCAGGACAAAGTTAATTGCTTTGCCACATTTTTTGCAGTATTACTTTAGTGCCTTGTTGCAAACAGGATGCATGTTTTGGAATATTTTATTTCTGTACAGGCTTCCTTCTTTTCACTCTGTCAATTAGGTTAGTATTGTGGAGTAACTACAATGTTGTTGATCCATCCTCAATTTTGTCCTATCACAGCCATTAAACTCTGTGACTGTTTCAAAGGCGCCATTGGCCTCATGGTGAAATCCCTAAGTGGTGTCCTTCCTCTCCAGAAACTGAGTTAGGAAGGACGCCTGGATCTTTGTAGTGACTGGGTGTATTGATACATAATCCAAAGTGTAATTAATAACTTCACCATGCTCAAAGGGATATTCAATGTGGGGTTTTTTTGTGGGTTTTTTTACCCATCTACCAATAGGTTCCCTTCTTGGCGAGGCATTGGAAAACCTCTCTGGTCTTTGTGGTTGAATCTGTGTTTGAAACTCACTGCTCGACTGAGGGAATTTACAGATAATTGTATGTGTGGGGTCATGTTAAGCACAAATCATGTTGAACACTATTATTTCACACAGAGTGAGTGAAATACTTATTTGCCCAAGACATTTCAGCTTTTTATTTTTTATTAATTTGTAAACATTTTTTAAAACATAATTCCACTTTGGCGTTATGAGATATTGTGTGTAGGCCAGTGAAAAAATATCTAAATTCAATCTATTTTAAATTCAGGCTGTTACACAACAAAATGTGAATACTTTCTGAAGGTAGTGTATCATTTCATCGCCTCCCTTCCATTCTAACCAATTCCCTTCCCTGTCCCCCTCTCCATCCCCTCCCTTCAGAATGACCAGGGAGGTCAGAGGATGTTGGTGAATCGTTGGAGCTCCTTCCTAAAGACTCGTCTCATCTGCTCTGTGGCTGGACCCAACGGCATTGACACACACTTTGACGAGCTAGGTACAGATGTGTGTGTGTGTGTGTGTGTGTGTGTGTATGTGCGAAGGCAGGGGATACAGCTATAGTACTTTTACTCTCTCTCTCCCTCCCTCCTCCTCTCTCTCCCTCCCTCTCTGTCTCCCACTCTCTCTCTCTCTCTCCCTCTCTCTTTCTTCAAATTCAAATTCAGATTGCTTAATTGCCATGAAATACAATTTGTAGATATTGCCAAAGCAGTATAGTGGTACAGCATTTCAGTAAATACAGTACAATGCAATGGGGATAATGAAATACAGTCAATTTCATTAGTAATAATAATAGTACATATAATCATGTATACAGGTACAACACTACTGCTGTTGTACTGTGTAATCTTCAGTCGATACATTTAATAAAATAAAACGAAGATTATAAAAATAAAAAGAAAGAATGGCTAATAAATAAACAACAACATTTACATGGATAATGGTTACACTATGTTTTACTTGTAAGTTATATACAATAAATACTTCAAGGAATTAATGGTCATGGGATGTCCCTCAGGCTATGGCAATCATATACTCGGGCTCCCAAGTGGCGCAGCGGTCTAAGGCACTGCATCTCAGTGCTAGAGGCGTCACTACAAACCCTCTGATTCGATTCCAGGCTGTATCACAACTGGCTGTGATTGGGAGTCCCATAGGGCTGCGCACAATTGGCCCAGCGTTGACCGGATTTGGCCGGTGTAGGCCGTCATTGTAAATAAGAATTTGTTCTTAACTGACTTGCCTAGTTAAATAAAGGTACAAAAATAAAACCACTTGAGTGTTGCTTTAGCAGTATACTTAGGGTCATTGTCTTGCTGGAAGGTGAACCTCCGTCCCAGTCTCAAATCTCTCGAAGTCTGAAACAGGTTTCCCTCAAGAATTTCGCTGTATTTAGCGCCATCCAACATTCCTTCAATTCTGACCAGTTTCCCAGTCCCTGCCGATGAAAACATCCCCAAAGCATGATGCTGCCACCACCATGCTTCATTGTGGGGATGGTGTTCTCGGGGTGATAAGAGGTGTTGGGTTTGCGCCAGACATAGCGTTTTCCTTGATGGCCAAAAAGTTACATTTTAGTCTCATCTGACCAGAGTACCTTCTTCCATATGTTTGCCTTTTGGCGAACACCAAACCTGTTTGCTTATTTTTTTCTTTAAGCAATGGCTTTTTTTCTGGCCACTCTTCTGTAAAGCCCAGCTCTGTGGAGTGTATGGCTTAAAGTGGTCCTATGGACAGATACTCCAACCTCCGCTGTGGAGCTCCTTCAGGGTTATCTTTGGTCTCTTTGTTGCCTCTCTGATTAATGCCCTCCTTGCCTCGTCCGTGAGTTTTGGTGGGCGGCCCTCTCTTGGCAGGTTTGTTGTGGTGCCATATTCTTTCAATTTTTTAATAATGGATTTAATGGTGCTCCGTGGGATATTCAAAGTTTCTGATATTTTTTTATAACCCAACCCTGATCTGTACTTCTCCACAACTTTGTCCCTGACCTGTTTGGAGAGCTCCTTGGTCTTCATGGTGCCGCTTGCTTGGTGGTGCCCCTTGCTTAGTGGTGTTGCAGACTCTGGGGCCTTTCAGAACAGGTGTATATATACTGAGATCATATGACACTTAAGATTGCACACAGGTGGACTTTATTTAACTAATTATGTGACTTCTGAAGGTAATTGGTTCCACCAGATCTTATTTAGGGGCTTCATAGCAAAGGGGGTGATTACATATGCACGCACCACTTTTCCATTATTTATTTTTTTGAATTATTTTGAAACAAGTTATTTCTTTCATTTCACTTCACCAATTTGGACTATTTTGTGTATGTCCATTACATGAAATCCAAATAAAAATCAATTTAAATTACAGGTTGTAATGCAACAAAATAGGAAAGACGCCAAGGGGGATGAATACTTTTGCAAGGCACTGTACTTATCGGGCAGTAATATTAGCGGTTTCTCCCTCACCTAGAATAATTCCCAGCTTTATGTTGTTAGTAAATGCACAGAAGTTGGGAATTAATTGAGATATTTTGGGAGTATTTCTCACAGTAGAGGAAAAAGTGCATCTCTGTCTCTACCTCCCCTGTCGTGCAGTGACCACATAGACGCTCCTCTTTGGGTAGCCATGTCTTTTCATGTCTCTCTTTTTCTATAGCCAATTGGTGGTCGCTGAGCCTGTATTCTGTCAGGATCTGTCTCTGTTTTGTATCTCTGACAGAGTAGAGATATTCTGCCAATTTGTATTCTCTTTTGAGGGCCAAATAGCAATTTAGTTTATTCTGTGTTTTTGTTTCATTTTCCCAATTTGTGAAATTGGAGGTTTTCATTTCTGTAACAATTTTATTGATTTCCCCGTGTGTTTGGATAATAGGGTTGTTTAGTGTTTTTAACAGCTGACATTGGGGACTATTTTCAGGGTTCAGCTCTTGGGTTTCCAGTGCTTTGAATTGTAAGGATGTTTTGGGGCTTAATTTCAAATGGTGCCAAAAATGTTGTGTAATTTTCTATATATTTAAAATGAAAGGGAATCATCCGAGTTCCGCTCTGCTTGCATTATTTGGTGCTTTCTTTTGGATATTTAGGATAATTCTGCAGAATTCTGTATGTAGATTTTCTATTGGGTTTTTCTCCAAATGTTTATAAATGTAATTACAGGTTGGACCCCAAACCTCACTTCCATATAGTGCAATTGGTAAAATTACACAATTGGTAAAATTACAAAATTACACACAATTGATACAGGTTGTAATTTCTGGGCAGTGCAATGCTGTGTTGAAGTGTGTTGCGCTGTCAGGGGCCCATCTGTAGGTTTTATTTTGATTAATCAGTGTACAGGGATCTGTTTGTGTGGTCTTGTGGAGAAGTCTTTTCAAAAGGACATTAATCTGACAGTGGTCAGACAATGGTGTCTGTGGTCTGACAGTGAATGCACTAATGGAGGAGGGGTCCAAGTCTGAGATTGCATAGTCAACAATACTGGTCCCAAGAGTTGAGCAGTAGGTGAACCTTCCCAAAGAATGCCCTCTAATCCTGCCATTAAGAAAATACAGGCCTAAAGCTCGACAGAGATGCACAAACTCCTTTCCATTTTTGTTCACTACCTGGTCAGGACTATTTCTATTACTAGTGATGGGAATCGGGTATAAGGAGGGATGTCCAAACGTGGAAAAAGTAAAGGGTTCTGAATACTTTCCGAATGCACTGTATATGTCTCAACAGGAGGCTGGCTCTGCATATGTGAGCTGGCAGTGAGGCTGAGTTATTGTCTGGGCTGGGATACCTTCCTGTTGGCCACTATTTGTCCTACCCCTAGAGTACAGTCCAGTGCTGTGAAGTGTTGGGCTGAGCTGAGCTGTGTCCAGCACCGCTGGGCTGAGCTGGGCTGGATTCGGGCACTGCTCGGCTGAACTGAGTTGGTTCTGGCTCCGCCGGGCTGAGCTTGTCTGGGTCTAGCGCCGCTGGGTTCGGACATGTTGGCAGGGGCTGGAGATGTCTGTGTCTGGCTCAACTGGGATGAAATTAGCCTCCTCTCTCTTCTTGGATAGCGGGGAGGTGGGAGGGCTCTGTTGCTGGGCTGGTATGATTGTGGAACTCTGCCTAACGTCCTTGGCAAAGATTCTGACTCCCTCATGGTCCAGGTGTACATGGTCGTACAAGTGCTTACATGTCAGGGTGTGGTGGTGAGAGATGCTGACATTTGGTAGTGAGGCACAGTCCATGGCGATTTTCTGGTTGACATTGTGGATCATTTGCCAGGAGAGATTTATCCTTGGTAGGACGGTGGATATAATGATGTTTGTCCTTGGGAACAGGGTGTATGCTTTCTCTGCCACCTTTCTCGCTTCCTCAGCCACTCTTTCTCCTTTTGTGCGCAGGTCATTTGTCCCAGTATGTCTGATAAATTTGTCTGGAATTTTCCAGCTTGGCTTGATAGAGCAGTTGTAGTGCACTGCCAGTAGTGGGACACCATAATTTAGCTGTCTGGTGTCTTGGGAATAGTCTCCTATCTTCTAGATACTTCCCATTAGAGTCTATCAGAACTTCAGTTTTTGGAGGTCTCCTGGGTTGAACTGGATCCTGTCCCCTGTCCTCTGGAGGTGTGTTCAGCTGAACATGGTCAAACTGCTAATGGGTTTGGCAGGTCAGGGTAGACTGTGGCAGGCTGGGAGGTTGGCAGGTCAGGGTAGACTGTGGCAGGCTGGGAGGTTGGCAGGTCAGGGTAGACTGTGGCAGGCTGGGAGGTTGGCAGGTCAGGGTTGACACTAAGAAGCTGAGAGGCTTGTGAGGCAGATGGGGTGAAGGCTGCACTGGGCTCAGGGGTATCTGGGCTTCCACCAGGCTGATGGGGCTGCTCTGTTGGTGGCATGGTCAGAAGCTGCTGACGGAGGGCATCGATGTCCCTCTCTTTCTGCTAAAGTTCCACCTTTACCACACACAGCTCCTCTTGGAGGGCATCATTGGACTGTGTCATTTGTTCAGTGTTCTGTCTTAACTTCTATCTTAACTGTTCTATTGAAGCACGGCTCTCCTCCTGGAAATGCCTCAACTCTTTCATCAGTGTCTGGACAGTGTTACATTCTTGTTGTTTGCGCTCCCTAAATTCCGTAATTTCCACTTCAAGTAATAATAATAATAATAATAATAATAATAATAATATGCCATTAGCAGACGCTTTTATCCAAAGCGACTTACAGTCATGTGTGCATTATGGGACCCATCTCGTCCAAAAGGTTGACTCAAGTTTGCCAAAAAGCACCTGGATGATCATCAAGACTCTTGGAAGAACGTTCTATGGACAGATGATTCAAAAGTATAACTTTTTGGACGACATGGTTCCAGTAATACCTGGCGAAAACCAAACTCTGAATTCCACAGTAAGAACATCATACCAAAGGTCAAGCATGGTGGTGGTGGTGTGATGGTTTGGGGATGCTTTGCTGCCTCAGGACCTGGACGACTTGCCTTAATAGAAGGAACCATGAATTCTGCTCTGTATCAGAGAATTCTACAGGAGAATGTCAGACCATCCGTCTGTGAGCTGAAGCTGGAGCGCAACTGGGTCATGCAGCAAGACAATGATCCAGAACACACAATCAAGTCTACATGAAAATTGCTAAAAAGCAACAAATTAGACGTTTTGGAATGGCCTAGTCAAAGTCCAGACCTAATCCCAATTGAGATGTTGTGGCAGGACTTGAAGCGAGCAGTTCATGCTTGAAAACCCACACGTCACTGAGTTAAAGCAGTTCTGCATGGAAGAGTGGGCCAAAATTCCTCCACAGCGACGTGAGAGACTGATCAACAACTACAGGAAGCATTTGGTTGGAGTCATTGCAGCTAAAGGTGGCACAACCAGTTATTGAGTGTAAGGTGGCGATTACTTTTTCACACAGGGGAATTGGGTGTTGCATAACTTTGTTTATGAAATAAATGAAATAAATATGTAATTGTTGTGTTATCTGTTCTCTTATGTTCCCTTTATCTAATATTAGGTTTTGGTTGAAGATCTGATAACATTCAGTATCACAAATATGCAAAAGTAGAGAAAATTAGAAAGGGGGCAAATACTTTTTCATAGCACTGTAAATAATACTAGATATTAGGAGCACATCATTTTACCTACTGGTTTTGGAACTCTCCTAAATAATAACATCTCTTTCTTGTGTGTGTGTGTCATTTCAGAGGATATATTTGTGTTGAAGAACAAGGATGAGAAGAATCCAGAGATCTTTGGCCTCTTCAGCACTACAAGGTCAGCTTAGTCATGTTTTTCATGTTAACACCATTTACTGGTATGTTGAAATGAATATATCAAAATACATTTCTCTCCCCTCCATAGCGCTGTGTTCCAGGGCTATGCGGTGTGTGTGTACCACATGGATGATGTGCGAGCAGCGTTCAATGGCCAGTTTGCCCACCGTGAGAGACCAGAGCACTACTGGACCCCCTACGAAGGCCGGGTCCCCTACCCACGCCCCGGATCTGTGAGTCCTGTCCCAACAGCCACCCCTACAGCATCTACTGACTTATCAATATACCTGATTGGCTCTCCAAACATGATTAATAAGGGTCCAAGCACTGCATGGTTGGTGTAGCATAATAAGGTAGTTTAGGAATGTGCTTAAGAGATGCACCTCCATGACAGCAAACTCCATATATCCAAACTATACAATTTTAAAAATATATTTTTACAAGGTGATATTCAAGCAGCAGCATGTTACATTCACAATTTGAACATCCCACGGAGCACCATTAAATCCATTATAAAATAATGGAAAGAATATGGCACCACAACAAACCTGCCAGGAGAGGGCCGCCCACCAAAACTCACGGACCAGGCAAGGAGGGCATTAATCAGAGAAGCAACAAAGAGACCAAAGATAACCCTGAATGAGCTGCAAAGCTCCACAGCGGAGATTGGAGTATCTGTCATTAGGACCACTTTAAGCAGTACACTCCACAGTGCTGGGCTTTACGGAAGATTGGCCAGAAAAAAAGCCATTGCTTAAAGAAAAAAATAAGCAAACACGTTTGGTGTTCGCCAAAAGCCATGTGGGAGACTCGCCAAACATATGGAAGAAGGTACTCTGGTCAGATGAGACTAAAATTGAGCTTTTTGGCCATCAAGGAAAACGCTGTGTCTGGCGCAAACCCAACACCTCTCATCACCCCGAGAACACCATTGGCTGTGGGGATGTTTTTAATCGACAGAGACTGGGAAATTTTGTCAAAATTGAAGGAATGATGGATGGCGCTAAATAAAGGGAAATTCTTGAGGGAAAACTGTTTCAGTCTTCCAGAGATTTGAGACTGGGGCGGAGGTTCACCATCCAGCAGGACAATGACCCTAAGCATACTGCTAAAGCAACACTCAAGTGGTTTAAGGGGAAACATTTAAATGTTTTGGAATGGCCTAGTCAAAGCCCAGACCTCAATCCAATTGAGGACCTGTGGTATGACTTAAAGATTGCTGTACACCAGCGGAACCCATCCAACTTGAAGGAGCTGGAGCAGTTTTGCCTTGAAGAATGGGAAAAAAATCCCAGTGGCTAGATGTGCCAAGCTTATAGAGAAATACCCCAAGAGACTTGCAGCTGTAATTGCTGCAAAATGTGGCTCTACAAAGTATTGACTTTGGGGGGGTGAACAGTTATGCACGCTCAAGTTTTCTGTTTTTTTTGGTGTTATTTCTTGTTTTATTCACCAAAAAATATATTTTGCATCTTCAAAGTGCATGTTGTACAGTGGGGAAAAAAAGTATTTAGTCAGCCACCAATTGTGCAAGTTCTCCGACTTAAAAAGATGAGAGAGGCCTGTAATTTTCATCATAGGTACACGTCAACTATGACAGACAGAATGAGATTTTTTTTCTCCAGAAAATCACATTGTAGGATTTTTAATGAATGTATTTGCAAATTATGGTGGAAAATAAGTATTTGGTCAATAACAAAAGTTTCTCAATACTTTATTATATACCCTTTGTTGGCAATGACACAGGTCAAACGTTTTCTGTAAGTCTTCACAAGGTTTTCACACACTGTTGCTGGTATTTTGGCCCATTCCTCCATGCAGATCTCCTCTAGAGCAGTGATGTTTTGGGGCTGTCGCTGGGCAACACAGACTTTCAACTCCCTCCAAAGATTTTCTGTGGGGTTGAGATCAGGAGACTGGCTAGGCCACTCCAGGACCTTGAAATGCTTCTTATGAAGCCACTCCTTCGTTGCCCGGGCAGTGTGTTTGGGATCATTGTCATGCTGAAAGACCCAGCCACGTTTCATCTTCAATGCCCTTGCTGATGGAAGGAGGTTTTCACTCAAAATCTCACGATACATGGCCCCATTCATTCTTTCCTTTACACTTATCAGTCGTCATTGTCCCTTTGCAGAAAAACAGCCCCAAAGCATGATGTTTCCACCCCCATGCTTCACAGTATGTATGGTGTTCTTTGGATGCAACCCAGCATTCTTTGTCCTCCAAACACGACGAGTTGAGTTTTTACCAAAAAGTTCTATTTTGGTTTCATCTGACCATATGACATTCTCCCAATCCTCTTCTGGATCATCCAAATGCACTCTAGCAAACTTCAGACGGGCCTGGACATGTACTGGCTTAAGCAGGGGGACACGTCTGGCACTGCAGGATTTGAGTCCCTGGCGGCGTAGTGTGTTACTGATGGTAGGCTTTGTTACTTTGGTCCCAACTCTCTGCAGGTCATTCACTAGGTCCCCCCGTGTGGTTCTGGGATTTTTGCTCACCGTTCTTGTGATCATTTTGACCCCACGGGGTGAGATCTTGCGTGGAGCCCCAGATCGAGGGAGATTATCAGTGGTCTTGTATGTCTTCCATTTCCTAATAATTGCTCCCACAGTTGATTTCTTCAAACCAAGCTGCTTACCTATTGCAGATTCAGTCTTCCCAGCCTGGTGCAGGTCTACAATTTTGTTTCTGGTGTCCTTTGACAGCTCTTTGGTCTTGGCCATAGTGGAGTTTGGAGTGTGACTGTTTGAGGTTGTGGACAGGTGTCTTTTATACTGATAACAAGTTCAAACAGGTGCCATTAATACAGGTAACGAGTGGAGGACAGAGGAGCCTCTTAAAGAAGAAGTTACAGGTCTGTGAGAGCCAGAAATCTTGCTTGTTTGTAGGTGACCAAATACTTATTTTCCACCATAATTTGCAAATAAATTCATTAAAAATCCTACAATGTGATTTTCTGGGTTTTTTTTCTCAATTTGTCTGTCATAGTTGAAGTGTACCTATGATGAAAATTACAGGCCTCTCTCATCTTTTTAAGTGGGAGAACTTGCACAATTGGTGGCTGACTAAATACTTTTTTTCCCCACTGTATAAATCGAATGATAAAACCCCTCATAAAAATCAATTTTAAATCCAGGTTGTAAGGCAACAAAATAGGAAAAATGCCAAGGGGCGTCAATACTTTCGCAAGTCACTGTAGCTTCCTAGTACATATGGAAATTAAAAAGGTTTATGAATGACTTTTTGGAGGGTTACTGCCAACATTATTCATATAAAAAATAGACATTAATGTCAGACAGGCGCATCGGCCCTCAGAGCTTGTGGGAGTTTTGCGGGGGCTAGAGGGGTGTCCGGTACACCAGTGAATCATTGTAGTCTATGACAGTGTAATGCTATTTTCTTATTCCTAAATTTCTTCTCTTCCTCTCTTCCACTCTATTCCTCTCTCTCTCTCTCCTCTCTCTCTCTCTCTCTCTCTCTCTCTCTCTCTCTCTCTCTCTCTCTCCTCTCTCTCTCTCTCTCTCTCTCTCTCTCTCTCTCTCTCTGTCTGTCCCTTCTCCCTCTCCATCTCCTTCCCTTCCACTCGCTCCAGTGTGGCAGTAAGGTGAATGGTGGTGCGTTCTCAGGTTCTAAGGAGTTCCCTGATGAGGTTCTGCGATTCGTGCGTTCCCACCCCGTCATTTTCAGCCCGGTCCTCCCCCTCCACCGCAGACCAGTTCTACTGCAGACAGAGCCAGGGGGGAGGAGACTAACTCAGATCGCTGTGGACCGCGTCCAGGCCCAGGACGGACACTATCATGTTCTGTATATAGGAACAGGTACAAGTCCTGAAATTGTCCAGTGCTGTGTATTGTATCTTCAGGGTTGACACTCCCTCCACTGGGCATACAGTATCACTCACTATTCAAATTATAACATTCACTCAATCTGCCTTTCATGGGAATTTATTAAAAATATTTTGAACTCCAATGTTACAATTACAATCTACAGAGACAATATTAAGAGAGAGAGGCAATAACATCCCAAAACAAAGGCTTTGACTCTCTTCCATTTTGATTTCCTCTCTGAATGGGTGGTAGTATTGGTGAAGGTGTAATATTTACACTACCAGTCAAAAGTTCGGACACACCTACTCATTCAAGGGTTTTTCTTAATTTTTTACATTGTAGAATAATAGTGAAGACATCAAAACTATGAAATAACAGATATGGAATCATGTAGTAACCAAAAAAGTGTTAAACAAATCAAAATATATTTTATATTTGACATTCTTCAAATAGCCACCCTTTGCCTTGATGAGAGCTTTGCACACTTTGGCATTCTCTCAACCAGCCTCATGAGGTAGTCAGCTGGAATGCATTTCAATTAACAGGTGTGCCTTGTTAAAAGTTAATTTGTGGAATTTCTTTCCTTCTTAATGCGTTTGAGCCAATCAGTGCTGTGACAAGGTATACAGAAGATAGCCCTATTTGGTAAAAGACCAAGTCCATATTATGGCAAGAACAGCTCAAATAAGCAAAGAGAAAGGACAGTCCATCATTACTTTAAGACATGAAGGACAGTCAATATGGAACACTTCAAGAACTTTGAATGTTTCTTCAAGTGCAGTCGCAAAAACCATCAAGCGCTATGATGAAACTGGCTCTCATGAGGACCGCCACAGGAATGGAAGACCCAGCTTTACCTCTGCTGCAGAGGATAAGTTCATTAGAGTTACCAGCCTCAGAAATTGCAGCCCAAATAAATGCTTCACAGAGTTCAAGTCACAGACACATCTCAACATCAACTTTTCAGAGGGGACTGTGTGAATCAGGCCTTCATGGTCAAATTGCTGCAAAGCAACCACTACTAAAGGACACCAATAATAAGAAGAGACCTGCTTGGGACAAGAAACACGAGCAAATGACATTAGACCGATGGAAATTTGTCCAAATTTGCAATTTCTGGTTCCAACCGCCGTGTCTTTGTGAGACGCGATGTGGGCGAATGGATGATCTCTGCATGTGTAGTTCCCACCGTAAAGCATGGAGGAGGAGGTTTTATGGTGTTGGGGTGCTTTGCTTGTGACACTATCTGTGATTTATTTGGAATTCAAGGCACACTTAACCAGCATGGCTACCACAGCATTCTGCAGCAATAAGCTGGTTTGGGCTTAGTGGGACTATAATTTGTTTTTCAACAGGACAATGACCCAACACACCTACAGGCTGTGTAAGGGCGATTGTACTAAGAAGGAGAGTGATGGAGTGCTGCATCAGATGACCTGGCCTCCACAATCCCCCGACCTCAACCCAATTGAGATGGTTTGGGATGAGTCGGACAGCAGAGTGAAGGAAAAGCAGCCAACAAGTGCTCAGCATATATGGGAACTCCTTCAAGACTGTTGGAAAAGCATTCCAGGTGAAGCTGGTTGAGAGAATGCCAAGAGTGTGCAAAGCTGGTGTTGAATGGAGCTGAAGGATGGGACTAATAACAACAACTAATAACAACAAGATAACTAGTGTAAGACATGATGTGTCCATAATAAGTATATAGGTTATATATTGTGAGCTTTTGTGAAAGAGCACAGTTAGAAAGATATGGCATATAGAAGCATACCAGATTGACATCATGAAAATGATCGGAGGAAGTTCAGGAGTAAAAACAAACTAAATATAATTATGTATATAGATGTATAAGCATGAAGTAGAGGCCTAAGCATTGTTGTTCACTAGTTTACTCCAATTAGGGAGGGGATGGTGGGGTTGGAAAGTAATAAAGGGATATATATATTTTTAAAGGATATGTATGTATGAATATATGTATGTATGTGTATATATATATGTGTATGTATGTGTATATATATATATATATATATATATATATATATATATATATATATATATATATATATGTATATATGCGAGAGAAAAAAAACATATGGGGGATTGGAAGTGATGCAGACAATTACATTGATGGAAGTTACAATCTATCTGCAATATTAAAGCTGATCTACCCCCTAAAAAAAAAGAAAGAAAAAAAAAAGAGTGTGCAAAGCTGTCATCAAGGCAAAGGGTGGCTATTTGAAGAATCTCAAATATAAAATATATTTGGATTTGTTTAACACTTTTTGGGTTACTACATGATTCCATATGTTTTATTTCATAGTTTTGATGTCTTCACTATTATTCTACAATGTAGAAAATAGTAAAAATAAAGAAAAACCCTTGAATGAGTAGGTGTGTCCAAACTTTTGACGGGTACTGTACATCAGATAATACTCTCTCCCGTAGACGACTCTGTTGTGTTGAAGGTTATCACCATCTACAACAAAGACACAGACACCATAGAGGAAGTGCTACTGGAGGAACTGCAGGTGTTCAAGGTACTGTTGTTACTCAGCGCCACTATGTGGCAAACAATAGTCATTGCACACATAAAGAAGATTGGCACTCAACAATTTGATTTAATTGTGGAAGTTCAGAAATGTTTTTATTTTTCTTCTTTAGGTCCCTTTTCCAATAACTGAGATCATCATATCAGCTAAACGGGTATGAAAACGATGTATTGTCTTAAAATGTTTCATTAATAACATCATTATTCATATAATTTTTTTGTGTGGTTGTTTAAAACTGCAGTACCTTAATCTAGCCACAAGATCACAGTGTATTGACATCTGAATGTGCGGGAATGTAATGCATTTTATGTTCTCGATATCACAGGAGGCTGCTGAGGGGAGAACGGCTCATAATAATGGCTGGAACAGAGCAAATGGAATGGCATCAAACACCTGGAAACCATGTGTTTGATGTATTTGATACCATTCCACTGATTCCGCTCCAGTCATTTCCACAAGCCCGTTCTCCCCAATTAAGGTGCCACCAACCTCCTGTGCTTGATATATACTCCAATGTGTACCTCCATTAATTTCTGTCCCTGTTTTGTTGTTTCCATAGCAACAGTTATATGTGGGTTCTGAGATGGGTGTGGCTCAGGTGAGGCTCCATCAGTGTGACCTGTATGGGTCTGAGTGTGCCGACTGTTGCCTAGCGAGGGACCCTTACTGCGCCTGGGATGGAATCACCTGCTCACGATACTACCCTGCTGGGGTCTACACCAAGAGGTGAGACAAACACACACACACATGCAGGCACACAGGCATGTACAGTCACACACAGACACATGCACATGTGCACACGCACACAGAGGTGCAGAGGCATCACATATCACTCATTAGCACCTCATCCAGCACCTCTATCCTCCTTAATCCCTCTCTGTCCTTATCTCACTCTCTCAAATGCCCATCTAACACCCTCCTCCCTTACCCCTCTCTCTCAGTAGACGATTCAGGAGACAGGATGTTCGCCATGGCAACGCTGTACAGCTGTGCAACGGGCTGCAGATTGATGGTCAGTCTGTGTTTTTTTCCCTACATTATCAGGACCCCAAAGTCCTAACATTTCAGCTGAAAGTCCAGAAAAGGTAGGAAAACATGTTTTTTTTTTATGGTCACGACTTTTTTCAGGTCCTGAATTTGTTCAAATGCAATTTTAAGCTTAAGGGTTAGATTGAGGGTTTTGGGGTTAAGGTTAGGGTTAGGGTTAGGTTTACGGTTAGCGTTTTTGGGGTTAGGGTTAGGGTTAGGGTTAGGGTTAGGGTTAGGGTTAGGGTTAGGTTTAGGTTAAGGGTTAAGGTTAGGGTTAGTTTTAGGGTTAGGTTTAGTGTTGAGGGTTAGGGAAAATAGGATTTGTAATGGTCAAACATTTTTACATTCCAAAAAGTCCTGACATTTCATGTGTGTGTGTGTGTGTGTGTGCGTGAAGCTGTCCAATCTGAGATTCACCTCCTATGATGTGTGTTTCATGCAGCTTACAATTTTGAAGCTCAGGTCCAATAAAGCATTTAGCTGTGGATAATAATAGAATGTGATTACACCTTGACCAATGGACTTTGGCCTGGCTGGGGTGACATAAAGGTCACTGTGTGTGTGTGTGTGTGTGTGTGTGTGTGTGTGTGTGTGTGTGTGTGTGTGTGTGTGTGTGTGTGTGTGTGCGTGCGTGCGTGCGTGCGTGCGTGTGTGCGTGTGTGTGTGTGTGTAGAGAAGCTTTTTGTGACAGGCAAGAGGATAAAAGAGGTCACTGTAAGTTGAATTACTATGTTGTCCTCTTTTTTATATCTCACATATAATGTCTCCTCTGAACATGTGTGTGGTGTGTATGTAGGGGAGCAGTACCAGGGTGTAGAGCAGAGGCAGGTGTATGGGGTAGAGAGCAACAGTACTCTACTGGAGTGTACCCCTCGCTCTCTACAGGCCAGAGTCATGTGGTACATACAGAGAGACCCAGACAGAGAGGAGGTGAGACACACACAAACATCACTTTCCTCCCCTATTCCCTGCTTTCCCATCTCTTTTCACCCTTACCCTTCTCTCCCTACCTCCAGGTCAGAGGTGATGAGCGTGTAGTTATGACAACCCACGGGCTCCTTTTCCTGCGTGTGCGGAGCGGGGATGCTGGTGTGTACGTGTGTCAGACGGTGGAACATGGCTATGTCCACACCCTACTGAGGGTCACGCTACACGTGCTGGGAGGGGGGAAGGTTGGGGCCCTGATACACAGGACAGGGGAGGAGGGTGAGGGAGAGTGGGAGACAAAAGCAACCTGTCACCTCCCTATAGATACCTCTCCAGGTCCCCACCCTGGTTCCAACTCTGACCCCAGTTCCAGGCTACAAGGAGCCCTACCAGGGTCCTCCCTAGCCCCAGCCTCAGCTCCAGGTCCTACCTCCAGACTGCCAGCCCCAGGCCCAGGTCCTACTTCCAGGCTGTGGTACAAGGAGTTCCTCCAGCTGATAGGCTATGGGGACACCCAGCGGGTGGAGGAGTACTGTGAGAAGGTCTGGTGCTCAGGGAAGAGACACAGGAAGACTAAACGCAGATACACCCAGCCAATGGAAGGAGGAGAGAGAAAGGGGAGGGGGAAGGGAAGACCCACACCGAGCCCCCAGACACACCTTGGACACCTGAGAGGAGAGAGAGAGAGAGGGCTGAGACTGTATAAAACACACACACACACTGGGACAGGTTTTTTCAATTCTACAACCAATGAAGCTAAAACATGACACTGTCTTCTTTTAGACTTGACCATATTGTCTTCTTTCTTCTAATAACCAGACTTTGTTATATTGTGTTTTTTCCTTCCCTGGTTTCTGGTGGAAACCTTGTCACTGGTAGGTATGCTGAGTGTATCTGTCCCTAAGTGTCCGTCAGATCGAAGGCACGTAGAACAGATTAACTGTTTGGAATGACGTGACCTCTGAACTTAAGACCACAGAACTGACAGCAGGCTCTCTGAACGGACAAAAGATTCACAGCCATGCCAGCTAAACCCACAGATAACAGACATTCAAACAGATTCATTAGAAATAAAACATATTTATGTTTCTAGAGATACTCTTGAGCTGCTCGCATTTAAAACCACTGGTTAGAAAATACATAACTTATACGCACATCAACAAGTAGTGATTCTTTCAATTGGGTCTTACTGTAAATACGTTATTATTATAGGTATCTGTTTTGAGTTTAGTAGTGCTTTAGATTTTATTAAACTGGAAATGGTACTGTGATATTGTTTTACTGTATAGTTAAATGTAATCTTTCATGATGATGTACACAAGTATTACCTACCATACTTTGTCAGATCGTTTGGTTTTACTTGTGATTTAATTTAGTTTTACATGAGATTTTTTAAATTCTAGGTAAGTTGTCATCATTGAATTATTACATTCATGCGGAATTCTGTGTGTACGAATCAGAGAATATTGAAAGGCACACACCTGTCTATTTCAGGTCCCACAGTTGACAGTGCATGTCAGAGCAAAAACCAAGCCATGAGGTCGAAGGAATTGTCCGTAGAGCTCTGAGACAGGATTGTGTCGAGGCACAGATCTGGGGAAGGGTACCATTTTTTTCTTGCAGCATTGAAGGTCCCCATGAACACAGTGGCCTCCATCATTCTTAAATGGAAGATGTTTGGAACCACCAAGACTCTTCCTAGAGCTGGCCGCTGGACCAAAATGAGCAATAGAAACAATAAAAATAGTTTTGAGAAAGTACTGTTGATGATTTAACATGGATTCTATAAAATGGAATAGATGTAACCCCTCAATAAAAGTTATAGATACTTGATCTGTGTCATTAGATATGAAATTATATATACATTGTATCTCAAACTATGCATTTCCACTTCAATAAATGTCCAACTTAAATGTGAAGTGTATTCAACTGGTAATTGATTAGTATTCATATCAGCTCCTGTATTGCTGTCTATTTCTCTCTCTCTCCCTCCCTCTCTTTCCCTCTCTCTCTCTGTCACTGCTGTTAGTAATGATTCTAGAGATGGAGTTCATAATAACCAGAACAGAAGTCAATCTACGTCACCACATTTCCCCTCTGGAATAAGGAAGAGCGCCACAGTGACCATTCAAGCATGTCATTGGCTAGACCGAGGAGCCTGTCTCATTAATATTCAAACCTATCTGAGAAAATAAACGGTTTTATATTCTGACAACGTAACATTCATCAGGGTGTTTTTGTTGAGTAAATTTGGGTTTTTCATGTGTCCATTACACAATCCCTCTTTTATACACTACCGTTCAAAAGTTTTAGAACACCTACGCATTCAAGGGTTTTTCTTTATTTTTACTATTTTCTACATTGTAGAATAATAGTGAAGACATCAAAACTATGAAATAACACATGTGGAATCATGTAGTAACCAAAAAAGTGTTAAACAAATCAAAATATTTTCTATATTTGAGATTCTTCAAATAGCCACCCTTTGCCTTGATGACCACTCTTGGCATTCTTTCAACTAGCTTCACCTGGAATGCTTTTCCAACAGTCTTGAAGGAGTTGTCACATATTCTGAGCACTTGTTGGCTGCTTTTCCTCTGCGGTCCGACTCATCCCAAACCATCTCAATTGGGTTGAGGTCGGGGGATTGTGGAGGCCAGGTCAACTGATGCAGCACTCCATCACTCTCCTTCTTGGTAAAATAGCCCTTACACAGCCTGGAGGTTTGTTGGGTCATTGTCCTCTTGAAAAACAAATGATAGTCCCACTAAGCCCAAACCAGATGGAATGGCATATCGCTGCAGAATGCTGTGGTAGCCATGCTGGTTAAGTGTGCCTTGATTTCTAAATTGATCACAGACAGTGTCACCAGCAAAGCACACCCACCCCATAACACATCCTCCTCCATGCTTTACGGTGGGAAATACACATGCGGAGTCATCCGTTCACCCATACCGCGTCTCACAAAGACACGGCGGTTGGAACCAAAAATCTCAAATTTGGACTCCAGATCAAAGGACAAATCTCCACCAGTTTAAACTCTTAAGGATTGGACGCTTTTTTTCAATTTTCGCCTAAGAAGATAATACAAACAAAAAAACATGTGTTTTCTATTTTATTTTTATTTTTATCATCTTTGAAATGCAAGAGAAAGGTCACAATATAATATTGCAGTTTAGGCGCAATTTAGATTTTGGCCACTAGATGGAAGCAGTGTGTGTGCAAAGTTTCAGATTGATCCAGTGAAGCATTTCAATACTGGACTATTTTGTATCAAGTCTGCCCAAATGTACCAAATTGGTCCAATGACACATTTTCAAGTACATAACTATAGAGAACATACAAAAATGATATGGTAATACAAAATGTAAGTTTACACACTCCCAGGAATGTCATATATGATGGATCATTAGCTTGTACACTAACTTTCACACATCTAGATGGCCGGGCGGGTTGGGTGTGGAGCCAGAGACTGCAGGGGTTCAAACTGTAAAACCCAGTTCCAACATTTGAATATAAAAATGATTTTTTTCAAACAAAACTATGCTACATTCTATCTCTGGGACCCTCAGGATGACAAATATACATTTACATTTTAGTCATTTAGCAGACGCTCTTATCCAGAGCAACTTACATAAGTGAGTGCATACATTTTTCATACTTTTTCATTCAAATCAGAGCAAGATTACTGAATGTAAGTACATTATTTACCTTCAGAGGTGAATGTATCAAATCAGCTGCCGTGATAAGTTTTTTGTTGTTGTGCACTCTCCTCAAACAATAGCATGGCATTTTTTCAGTGTAATAGCTAATGTAAATTGGATATTGCAGATTAACATGAATTTAAGCTTTCTGCCCATATCAGACATGTCTAGGTCCTGGAAAGTTTGCTGTTACTTATAACAGTCATGCTAATCACATTAGCGCATGTTAACTCAACCGTCCCGTATATGGGACACCGATCCCGTAGAGGCTAATGTCCATTGCTTGTGTTTCTTGGCCAAGCAAGTCTCTTCTTATTATTGGTGTCCTTTAGCAGTGGTTTATTTGCAGCAATTCGACCATGAAGGCCTTATTCACATTTCCTCTGAACAGTTGATGTTGAGATGTGTCTGTTACTTGAACTCTGTGAAGCATTTATTTGGGCTGCAATTTCTGAGGCTGGTAACTCGAATGAACTCCTGTGGCGGTCCTCATGAGAGCAAGTTTCATCATAGCACTTGATGGTTTTTGCGACTACACTTGAAGAAACTTTCAAAGTTCTTGAAATGTTCCATATTGACTGACCTTCATGTCTTAAAGTAATGATGGACTGTGGTTTCTCTTTGCTTATTTGAGCTGTTCTTGCCATAATATGGACTTGGCCTTTTACCAAATAGGGATATCTTCTGTATACTCCCCCTACCTTGTCACAACACAACTGATTGGCTCAAACGCATTAAGAAGGAAATAAATTCCACAAATTAACTTTTAAGGCACACCTGTTGATTGAAATGCATTCCAAGTGACTACCTCATAAAGCTGGTTGAGAGAATTCCGAGAGTGTGCAAAGCTGTCATCAAGGCAAAGAGTGGCTTTTTGAAGAATCTCAAATATAAAATATATGATTCCATATGTGTTATTTCATATTTTAATGTCTTCACTATTATTCTACAATGTAGAAAATAGTAAAAATTAAGGAAAACCCTTGAATGAGTAGGTGTTCTAAAACTTTTGACCGGTAGTGTTTTAGTGTTTTTATGTTATCATATTTCACCGTAGGCCTACTCATGATCTGAAGTTTCTGCATGACTTTATTCCTGCACTCATCATCTTTCTGAATGTTCTTTGACTAAGAGTTTTGGCCTAAATAGATACTGTGTGTGTGTGTGTGTGTGTGTTTGTCTCCCCTTTACCCTACCTCATAAATGCCTGACATTAAAATAAATATATGTTCTCTTGCTGGTGTCACCTCTAGGATTCAGCTATCAATAATGTGGCTAACACACACAAACACACACGCACACGCAACACAAACACACACAAACACACACACACACAAACTGGAGTCATCTGAGGATGGAGTTCACACAGCTGATCTGTTCCACTGGCTACCATAGCAACGGTCTATAAGTCCCCTAACACCCCTCCCTCTCACCACCTCACCACAGCTACCCATCTTTGTGTCTTAGCAAGGTAGCACTGTCACTCAGGTAGTGGGTGTTAAACCACAATGTTTCAGTTGAAACAGCCTTGATAAGACCTGTAAGTGGGTTCATTGTGGTGAATAAAGCATTTACCATGAGGAGGTTGACACCTTAACACTCAGCCCAGCCAATAGCCCCTCTAGCTGCCCAGCCCAGTGAAATAATAGTAGATACATCTCAGTCCCTTCCCCTAGTTTCTATGCCTTCTTGATCTCCTACCATCTCTCTCTCTCTCTCTCTCTCTCTCTCTCTCTCTCTCTCTCTCTCTCTCTCTCTCTCTCTCTCTCTCTCTCTCTCTCTCTCTCTCTCTCTCTCTCTCTCTCTCTCTCTCTCTCTCTCTCTCTCTCTCTCTCTCTCTCTCTCTCTCTCTCTCTCTCTCTCTCGCCATCAGCAGCACATTGATGTTTCCATCAGTGCCCAATGCACCAGAACACTTTATTACGTATGAAATGGTGTCTCTGTGTGTGTGTGTGTGTGTGTGTGTGTGTGCGTGCTTGCGTGCGTGTGTGCATGTATGTGTGTGCGTGTGCATTTGTGCGTGACTGGTCTAGATGAAAGCCTGGAGCATGAAGGGCAGATAGTTCTCAGTGGTTGTCTGTTATCTGTGTTGTGCCAGATTCACCACACGCCCACACACAGATGCAAGAGAACACGCCCCTGCGGTACCATGTTTGATGATTTTATTCCCTTCACTATATCATACATACTCCTCATCTGAAACATTCAATCCAGATTAAAGCTTTGAATTAATAAATGGTTGATTATTATTATTATTTATTATTTTATTAATCAGGAGCTCTGGGATATATTGCCGGCTTTCACTTCCTGCAGTCTTTATTATATGCATCGCTATTTCTGAATATTTCACAGCTATGTGTATCAGGGCTTGAGGTGGGGAGAAAAAGGTGTCGGTACTGTTGTGGAGGTCATATTAGAGAGGGTATTTCTAGAAGAGGCACCAGTACTCAAACGGTGGAAAAGTAGTCTATCGGCAGCGGTCAGCACCCGTCCACCTCAATGGCTGCTATCTACTGTTTATTTTCTGTGAATTGTAATGATTAAGATTATGTGTGATTCTGACGTTTCTGTGCTGACAGAAGAGAGAGGAGAGGGAGAGAGAGAGAGAATGAGTGTGTGAGAGGGAGAGTTAGAGAAAGAGTGAGAGAGAGAGAGTGGCAAGTCATTCCCAGCCACCTGTCACTCGATGTTATCAATGTAGGAGTGATGAATAAATGTTAAATCCCAAATCCAGCTCTATCAAAGTTCATGAGTAAGCAACAGAGATGGAGGAGAAGATGATCAACCGTCAGACAGACACTAGTCTCTCTCTCTCATATCAGGTCAAACGAAGGACTCTGAATAATGAGGAGACCTGTACAAGCACACACTGTAAAACAAAACACACATTGCAAACACCTACACTGTACAAACACACAAAGTATGAAAACACACACATTATGTCAGTGTGGTGCAGCTCTGGCCTTAAGCAGTCAACACATATCCCCAATTTGAATCCTACTATACCTTACAGGTCTCAGTGACTCCAGTCTCTGCCTCAGTGTGTGAGTGTGTGAGTGTGGGTGAGTGTGGCACATTTCGATGTCACACTGAATACCCTTACTCACAATGAGTCACTTACTTATTTGTGCGCATGTCTGTGTGTGTGAGATAAGGCATTTGAGAAAAACCCACAATCCATCAGCTGCACTGACACCCCACCTACTTACACACCTCACGACTCACGAGCGAGGGAGTGAGAGAATGAACAACCGGATGGTATAGATCTTGTGACTCACTCCTACATGATAATCCTTTCAAAGGGAGAGGGGGAGAGCCAGAGAAAGGGATGAAGGCAATTCACAGAGCCAGAGAAAAGATGAGAATCACTAAATGGGTAGGAGAGACTCCAGAACAAAGAGATGAGAGCACTTGGAGAGAAATAGAAAGGGGAAGAGACCGTTAGAAAACAACAGGGAGCAAGTGATTCAGAGGTAGAGAGTGACAACGAGAGAGAGAGCGAGAGAGACAGAGAGAGAGAGAGAGAGAGGCAGACAGAGAGAGAGACAAGGAGAGAGAGAGAGAGAGAGAGAGAGAGAGAGAGAGAGAGAGAGAGAGAGAGAGAGAGAGAGAGAGAGAGAGAGTTGGGGGTGGAAGTAGAGAACAGAGGCAATGAGGCAGTGCTGAGTTATTCTGTGTGTGAGAGCTAGTCTGTCACACTGTGGTATTTCTATTCAGCAGGAGCTGCAGGGTCGTCTCTCTCTCTCTTTCTCTCTCTCTGCATTACCAAGCCCTGAAACCACAGGAGGTTCAGCACTCTCTTTTAGAATGCATTGGCCTGAGGTTTACAGAGGCTGCTATTTTGAGGTCTAGTGACTAGAATTCAGTAGTGGCATGTTAGCGTCAGTACCACCAATCAGCAGAGAACAGAGACTGGTGACTGACAGCTGTGTGTGTGTGATGTGATAACAAGAGTTTGTGTGTGTGGATTGAGTCTTTGGAGCTGTGGTTAATCTATGTGTAATCATGGTGTATCCATCCCCTTGTGACTTTCTCTCTCTCTCTCTCTCTCTCTCTCTCTCTCTCTCTCTCTCTCTCTCTCTCTCTCTCTCTCTCTCTCTCTCTCTCTCTCTCTCTCTCTCTCTCTCTCTCATCCATCTACCTCATTACTTCCTCATCACTACGACCTTTGCACTCACATCAGCTGGTTTAGGCCATAAAACACAGACACACAAACACACAGTGTGTACGCTAGGCAGAACACAGCTACACATAAATCAATGGTCTATAGGCAGAAGGATAAGACTAGCAACATGTTTATACCGTAGTATGTGATATGCCACTACTTGGATTACATACCAAACCATGAATATGGCTGATTCTCACCTCTATGGCCAGAGTCTGGCATACACTGTTTCAAAATGTTAGTCACAAGTTCAGCAACACTTTTCCTCTGAAGGAATTCCATTGGGAGATAACAGAAATGGATAAGAAATAATACCTTCAACAGCATGACAAGTGTTGAATATCATGAATGTTATAGAATCATATGCAGAACAACTGTAACTTGGGTTTCTTTCACAGAATATATCTCCCAGTGCAGTAGACTATATGTTGAGGTGTGTCTGTTTACCTGTTCTTAATGAGGCTGTTGGGTTACTGAAGGAAAAGTATATTAGATTGATGCAGCATTTCTGTTTTGTGTCTGCATCACTCAATAGATGTGCTTAGCGATTGTAAAAGTAAACGGCTGGTGTGTGTGTGTGTGTGTGTGTGTGTGTGTGTGTGTGTGTGTGTGTGAGTGGTGTGTGTGTGAGTGTGTGTGGTGTAAATTCTGACCTGAGCCATTACGGAGACTAGGCATCTACCACCCCACTAAAACTATCAGCGGGGCAATGTAGCATATGTTTTTTGTCCACCCACTTTGGTTCTGAAATGTGTGTGTGTGTGTGTGTGTGTGTGTGTGTGTGTGTGTGTGTGTGTGTGTGTGTGTGTGTGTGTGTGTGTGTGTGTGTGTGTGTGTGTGTGTGGTTATTACAGCAGCACCTGGGAGGCTGAGGTTGCTGGTAAATATTTGATGAGAGAATGGATCCTCTACTCTGTGAGCAGGTCAAGTACAGTAGCACACACACACACACACACACAAACACACAAAACACACACACACACACACACACACAGAACACACACACAGGATATTATATTTTCTGAAAGCAGTGTGAGTACAGTAGCTATGCCGCTACACATATAGAATAGATGATGTAAGACTATGACACACACACACACACCTATTCAGTGGGTAGGTGCCAGAGAAAGTGATATCAGAGTATAACTGCCAGATGAAAGTCACACCAGAAAGTGTTACTGTTATTTGGCATGGTCTATGCATGTGGCTCAACACATATGTACACAATCAACACAACTACTGCGCTGTTGGAGCTAGGAACACAAGCATTTAGCTACACCCGCAATAACATCTGCTAAATATGTGTATGTGACCAATGCAATTTGATTGATTTGATTTGAACACTCTCACAAGGTGGAGAGTGTTGGATAATATATGTCAGAAATAGAAATCCTGAGGAGACCAGAGAGGGTAAAATTCAGGAAATAATGTAAAGTAACAATAGAATGTTCTCTCATATGTATGGAAGATGTAGTTGGATTGTGTCCCATCATCATCCTCATCAACCATATTCGGTTTGATTACTCTGATGCACTGTAAATTGATCAATCTTATGAATCACCTCATTCTTAGATATTAAATGACATAACTATAATAACTATAGAGTGCCTGAGGACCTTATTCCCATCAACATCTTGATATAGTAAACAACAGTATTGGCAGCAACCAGACAGTGAGAGGCAGACCAGAGAGAGGTAACAGGTCATCCTGAGGTAGCCTAAAACCTTGGGCAGCTTCTTTTACACAATGACTGTATATACAGCCTGTCTAGAGTCTAGACCTGACCACTGAGCTACGGCTGACTTCTGTCCATCTCCTCAGCATCCAGCTACAACAATCAACACACCACTACTGAGCCTGTTCTGTGAAACATTACACTCCAAACAGACTAAAACCAGTAGTATTCATGTTAGTGTATGTACTGTAACTGTAGCCTAAGGTCTTGAATGAATGTACAGCTGAGAACACTGTTAATTCTATTGGCGTGGTACCAGTGGTAGTAGAAGTAGAATTAGTAGTAGTAATACTTAATCTTGCTCCTCCTTCTAAACAGCTGGAGCAGAAGCAGCAGTACACTGTACAAGCATCCTCAGGCCTCTTATGCTCCATGCATTCTCTCTATCCCTCTTCTCTCCTCTCCTCTCCTCTCCTGCCAGAGATCACTGCTGATTTCCTGCCGGCTCCTGATTCGTTTGTGTGGGCGGGAGGAGATTAGGGGGCGGAGGGAGAGATGGTTGAGAGGGGGAGAAGGGAGGAGGGCTAGGATAATGATGGCCCTTTAAGATTATTTTTAGTATGCAATAAGAATTATTCACTGGTCAGGAAAACAGGCATTAGGGATGGAATGAGACTGGCAGTAGAAAACAGACATATAGGGATGATATGAGACTGGCATAGAAAACAGACATATATGGATGGTATGAGACTGGCAGTAGAAATCAGACATATAGGGATGGTATGAGACTGGCAGTAGAAAACAGACATGTAGGGTTGGTATGAGACTGGCAGTGGAAAACAGATATACAGTTGAAGTCGGAAGTTTACATACACTTAGGTTGGAGTCATTAAAACTCGTTTTTCAACCACTCCACAAATTTCTTGTTAACAAACTATAGTTTTGGCAAGTCAGTTAGGACATCTACTTTGTGCATGAAACAAGTACATTTTTCAACAATTGTTTACAGACAGATTATTTCACTTATAATTCACTGTATCACAATTCCAGTGGGTCAGAAGTGGCTTTAGAAGCTTCTGATAGGCTAATTGACATCATTTGAGTCAATTGGAGTTGTACCTGTGGATGTATTTCAAGGCCTTCCTTCAAACTCAGTGCCTCTTTGCTTGACATCATGGGAAAATCAAAAGAAATCAGCCAAGACCTCAGAAAACAAATTGTAGACCTCCACAAGTCTGGTTCATCCTGGGAGCAATTTCCAAATGCCTGAAGATACCACGTTCATCTGTACAAACAATAGTACGCAAGTATAAACACCATGGGACCACGCAGCCGTCATACCGCTCAGGAAGGAGACGTGTTCTGTCTCCTAGAGATGAACGTACTTTGGTGCGAAAAGTGCAAATCAATCCCAGAACAACAGCAAAGGACCTTGTGAAGATGCTGGAGGAACAGGTACAAAAGTATCTATATCCACAGTAAAACAAGTCCTATATCGACATAACCTGAAAGGCCGCTCAGCAAGGAAGAAGCCACTGCTCCAAAACCGCCATAAAAAAGCCAGACTACGGTTTGCAACTGCACATGGGGACAAAGATCGTACTTTTTGGAGAAATGTCCTCTGGTCTGATGAAACAAAAATAGAACTGTTTGGCCATAATGACTATCGTTATGTTTAGAGGAAAAAGGGGAAGGCTTGCAAGCCGAAGAACACCATCCCAACCGTGAAGAACGGGGGTGGCAGCATCATGCTGTGGGGGTGCTTTGCTGCAGGAGGGACTGATGCACTTCACAAAATAGATGACACCATGAGGAAGGAAAATTATGTGATTATATTGAAGCAACATCTCAAGACATCAGTCAGGAAGTTAAAGCTTGGTCGCAAATGGGTCTTCCAAATGGACAATGACCCGAAGCATACTTCCAAAGTTCTGGCAAAATGGCTTAAGGACAACAAAGTCAAGGTATTGGAGTGGCCATCACAAAGCCCTGACCTCAATCCTATAGAAAATATGTGGGCAGAACTAAAAAGCGTGTGCAAGCAAGGAGGCCTACAAACCTGACCTCAGTGTACACCAGCTCTGTTCAGGGGACTGGGCCAAATCACGGCCCCACTTATGTGTAGGCAGCTTCGTTGAAAGGCCACTACCCGAAACGTTTGACCCAAGTTAAACAATTTAAATGTCAGGAATTGTAAAAACCTGAAAAATGATTGGCTAGGTGTATGTAAACTTCCGACCAACTGTATAGGATGGTATGAGAAATAACAGTGAAAACAGACATATAGGGATGGTATGACTGACATTAGAACAAATATAAGTGGTATTAACTGACTAAGACAGGAATTTTACTAGGATTAAATGTCAGGAAATGTAAAAATGAAACTGACAAAGAGAAATTGGCTATAGGATGTATGAAACTGACAGTAAAAACTGTATAGGGATGGTATGAGACTGACAGTAGAAAACAGACATATAGGGATGGTATGAGACTGACAGTAGAAAACAGACATATAGGGATGGTATGAGACTGACAGTAGAAAACAGACATATAGGGATGGTATGAGACTGACAGTAGAAAACAGACATATAGGGGTAGCAGCAGACTGGCAGCCTCCTAACAGTGAAGTAGAGGGATGGGAGGAAGAGAGAGGCCGGTGCTACAGTGGCAAAGCCTGGTACCGTTAGCCAAAGCCTAAGATGGCTCAATGGAGCCATCCATCACCTTTGATTACTGGTCCAATGCTCTTAACCAATAATGCATTCCTTTCTGAAACAATGCCCGGAGGAAGAGTTATAGAGGTGAAAGGTCCAATACTGTCCAATACAGTGAGCAACCTGTTGGAAAATGCATTCCTGGAAGTTCTAGAAATGCATTTTATTCATATTCCCAGCATATTCATTACATATTTATGCCATCAGTAGAAACCGATCAGTGGCCCACCTGGTCTCAGTGTTGTAGTCTTGCTTCTCATCTACAGAGTACTGTTCCTGGTCCATATTTTCCCCTCTTCAGGGCAGATATGTAAATTTAATGACGCTGGCGAAGTGTATGAGATCAGGTTACTGTATTGATTACACAGTGACCCTGCTCCGCTCTGCTCTATCAGAGACTCAGCGACACAGAGACCCAGAGAGACAGGCCAGGAGCAGCACTAGTAGCAGGTAGCAGCTCCATGCAGGTTACAGCACCACACCACTCTGCTCCAGGGAAAGACATGCCGGGCAAAAACTGCTTTTCCTTTCTGAAAAGCAAGCATCAGAGGTAAGATAACATACGTTTTATGGTCTTTCGACAGAATTGTGGTTAGCACCAACAACAAGTGCATTACATGACACAGAATCAGTACACAACAGGTGGCTATTCAACTATTGTTAGTAAATGGGTCATTCAGAACTGAATAACCAAGAAGAAAGTGTATGTTTTAAACAACTTGAACTCACGAGGTCACATGGCTGCACTGCTCTCAAATAATGTTTTGCTAGGTGAAAGTTGCAGTCTGACTTGCTGTTAGAAATGCTGTAGAGTTAATGATGATAATCAACTTAATCAGCAGACAGGCTTTAATTAAAATGAGAGAGTGATATGTACTTCTGAGGATACAGATGTGTGTGAAAGACAGAGGGAGGGGGAGAGAGATGAAGGGAGAGAGACAGAGAGGGAGAGAGTGAGAGGGGGGAGAGAGAGAGAGAGAGAGAGAGAGAGAGAGAGAGAGAGAGAGAAGAGAGAGAGAGAGAGAGAGAAGAGAGAGAGAGAGACATCTCTGCCCTGCAGAAACATCTCTGTGCTTCATGCTTGAGTGAGCAGTGAGACATTGTTAGTGTAGGCCGGGCTTTGGATCACAGAGGCTGTTTGTCAGAGACGTGCCCCCATGTCCACAACAGACTGTGGTGGCTCTAAAATGGCAGCCAGGTTTAGTTTTATTTGTTTTTGTTTTATTTATTCACACAAAAAAGACAAAGGAAAGACAAACATTGCAGATAAAAACACGGTAAAAAGGTCTGCAGGTGAGGTTGGAAATCCCAGAGGGCTTGTATGAAAACCACACCAAAAAAAAAAAACGATATACAGCTGTGGAAAAAATTAAGAGACAACTGCAAATCTTTCTTAAATCAGCATCTCTACATGTATGACAGCCATTCCATTCCAGTGTCTGTTGAATTCCAACACAGGCACACCTCATTCTACTGAATTAGGTACTGATTAGGTGATCACATGAACCAAATCTTATTTAACGAGGAAAAGTATAAAAACCACTGCTGTGGTCATCACTATCCTCTTGCAATAGGACCAGCTGGATGGCAAAAACAGTGCTAATAGTACCTGAAAAGTAATATTAATCAAAAAATAACTATTGACCATGCCAAAAGAGTTGAAAAGGAACGTTTTGAGTGAGGGAAAGAAGGGTTCAATTCTGGCTTTACTGGCAGAAGGATACAGTTGCTTCCATCCTTAAAATGTCAAAGACGGCGGTTCATAAGAACAAGGTCAAGCAGCAAACATTGGGGACAACAAAGCTACAGACCGGCAGAGGGCGAAAACTACTCTACTGACGGGATGACCGCCAACTCATTCGAATGTCACTCAACAACCATAGGATGACATCAAGTGACCTACAAAAAGAATGGCAAACGGCAGCTGGGGTGAAGTGCACGGCGAGGACGGTTCGAAACATGCTCCTAGGGGCAGGGCTGAAGTCGTGCAAATGCTAGAAAAAAGCCCTTCATCAATGAGAAGCAAAGAAGAGCCAGGCTGAGGTTTGCAAAAGACCATAAGGATTGGACCGTAGAGGACTGGAGTAAGGTCATCTTTTGATGAATCCAATTTTCAGCTTTGCCCAACACCTGGTCGTCTAATGGTTAGACGGAAACCTGGAGAGGCCTACAAGCCACAGTGTCTCGCACCCACTGTGAAATTTGGTGGAGGATCGGTGATGATCTGGTGGTGCTTCAGCAAGGCTGGAATCGGGCAGATTTGTCTTTGTGAAGGACGCATGAATCAAGCCACGTACAAGGTTATCCTGGAAGAAAACTTGCTTCCTTTTGCTCTGACATCTTTCCCCAACTCTGAGGATTGGTTTTTCCAGCAGGACAATGCACCATGCCACACAGCCAGGTCAATCAAGGTGTGGATGGAGGACCACCAGATCAAGACCCTGTCATGGCCAGCCCAATCTCCAGACCTGAACCCCATTGAAAACTTCTGGAATGTGATCAAGAGGAAGCTGTGATTGAAAATCAGGGTTATTCCACCAAATATTGATTTCTGAACTCTTCCTAAATTAAAACATTAGTATTGTGTTGTTAAAAAATTAACATGAACTTATTTTCTTTGCATTATTCGAGAAAAGTATTTAGTCAGCCACCAATTGTGCAAGTTCTCCACCTTAAAAAGATGAGAGAGGCCTGTAATTTTCATCATAGGTACACGTCAACTATGACAGACAAAATGAGAATTTTTTTCTCCAGAAAATCACATTGTAGGATTTTTAATGAATTTATTTGCAAATTATGGTGGAAAATAAGTATTTGGTCAATAACAAAAGTTTCTCAATACTTTGTTATATACCCTTTGTTGGCAATGACACAGGTCAAACATTTTCTGTAAGTCTTCACAAGGTTTTCACACACTGTTGCTGGTATTTTGGCCCATTCCTCCATGCAGATCTCCTCTAGAGCAGTGATGTTTTGGGGCTGTCGCTGGGCAACACAGACTTTCAACTCCCTCCAAAGATTTTCTATGGGGTTGAGATCTGGAGACTGGCTAGGCCACTCCAGGACCTTGAAATGCTTCTTACGAAGCCACTCCTTCGTTGCCCGGGCGGTGTGTTTGGGATCATTGTCATGCTGAAAGATCCAGCCACGTTTCATCTTCAATGCCCTTGCTGATGGAAGGAGGTTTTCACTCAAATCTCACGATACATGGCCCCATTCATTCTTTCCTTTACACGGATCAGTCGTCCTGATCCCTTTGCAGAAAAACAGCCCCAAGCATGATGTTTCCACCCCCATGCTTCACAGTAGGTATGGTGTTCTTTGGATGTAACTCAGCATTCTTTGTCCTCCAAACACGACGAGTTGAGTTTTTACCAAAAGTTATATTTTGGTTTCATTCTGACCATATGACATTCTCCCAATCCTCTTCTGGATCATCCAAATGCACTCTAGCCAAACTTCAGACGGGCCTGGACATGTACTGGCTCTTAAGTAGGGGGGACACGTCTAGCACTGCAGGATTTGAGTCCCTGGCGGTGTTGTTGTAGTGTGTTACTGATGGTAGGCTTTGTTACTTTGGTCCCAGCTCTCTGCAGGTCATTCACTAGGTCCCCCCGTGTGGTTCTGGGATTTTTGCTCACCGGTCTTGTGATCATTTTGACCCCAACGGGGTGAGATCTTGCGTGGAGCCCCAGATCGAGGGAGATTATCAGTGGTCTTGTATGTCTTCCATTTCCTAATAATTGCTCCCACAGTTTGATTTCTTCAAACCAAGCTGCTTACCTATTGCAGATTCAGTCTTCCCAGCCTGGTGCAGGTCTACAATTTTGTTTCTGGTGTCCTTTGAAGCTCTTTGGTCTTGGCCATAGTGGAGTTTGGAGTGTGACTGTTTGAGGTTGTGGACAGGTGTCTTTTATACTGATAACAAGTTCAAACAGGTGCCATTAATACAGGTAACGAGTGGAGGACAGAGGAGCCTCTTAAAGAAGAAGTTACAGGTCGGTGAGAGCCAGAAATCCTGCTTGTTTGTAGGTGACCAAATACTTATTTTCCACCATAATATGCTAATTAATTCATAAAAAATCCTACAATGTGATTTTCTAGATTTTTTTTCCTCAATTTGTCTGTCATAGTTGACATGTACCTATGATGAAAATTACAGGCCTCTCTCATCTTTTTAAGTGGGAGAACTTGCACAATTGGTGGCTGACCAAATACTTTTTTTCCCCACTGTATATATATATATATATATATATACACACGTAACAGATTGTTCAATCTAATAAACAAAGCATACTAATTACAATTGAACATGATAAACTCAGTGTTAAAAAAACATAGCGTGCATGTGTATGTGTGCATGGAGGAGTAGTTTGGTTCATCAGGCTGAACCCAGTCTACCTTTGAAATTGTTTAGGGATGATGAGGTTTGGTAATGTGAAGATAGGAATTCCAGAGTATGGAACCTCTGTATCTGCTAGAGAATTGACTATGTGAGGTGCGGCACTGGGGAGGGTGAAGGTTATCAGAGTGTCTTGTGTTGTATGCATGGATTTCGGAATTAGCCTGGAAGAATACATTTAAGAGTTTGGCGAGGCTGTCTGGGAGGTACATGTATTTATAGATGAAGGTGCATATTTGGGGAATATTAATGTTGTAGATGGGCATGAAGCTGAATTTCTTAAACAGAGGGTCAGATGTAGCCAAGTAGTTAGAGAAGGTGGCAAGTCTTGCAAATTACATTTGGATTATGTGAAAATTGTGTAGGTAGGAAGCATACAGTATATACTGGCCCAGACAATGTGGCAGTAGATGAGATATGGGTAGGTATAGGTTGATGTAATGACTAGAAGTCAAAGGAAACTCTCTCCTTTCAGTGTCACAGATAATAAGACGTACTGTAACTATGCAACTATTAGTTATACTGCTCATAATGATGTGGTTTGGATAGAGAATGTCTGGTGAAAGACCAATTTCAGTCCCAGAGTGAGCAGGCCAATGCTACTGCCCAGATGATCACAAAGATAAAAGGATGTAGTGTGTGTGTGTGTGTGTGTGAGAGAGAGAGAGAGAGAGAGAGAGAGAGAGAGAGAGAGAGAGAGAGAGAGAGAACCCAAATTCTGATCTCACATTACACATGATGCAACATTTCCTCACGTCCACTCACCACTTGATCTCCTGTTCACACACATACACAGTCCATCATGCTGAGGGGAGTGTGTGTGTGTGTGTGTTTATGTGAAATCCTTGCTAAATCCCATCCCCTGCTGATGGAGTCATTGGTGCTGTATTATCTCTCTCATAGCAGATGAGTGGTCTATAAAGGCTGGGAGCTGGTTTGCCCTTTGGTACCACTGCTCTTTCTTCACACCCCGCTGGTTTGGGGTGACATATACTGCTCTAAGCTTCAGTACAGCTGAGGTAGTCAGGGTGCCAGATACTACTCCTAGCTTCACAATACCTTGTTTAGTGTAATACACTAATAAAAGAAGACTGATGTCCTAGTTTGAGCTTTACCTTCCTCTTAGTAGCTCCACCTGGGCAGAAAGAAGGA